ATTAATATCTTACTTCCTATAATATTATAAAGGTTATTAATATTTATTTAAATTATAATAAATATAATTAATTGAATTAATAAAAATAATCTACCAGCTAAATTATTAATATTTTATTTTAATATAAATTTTACTTATAATTATAATGAAAATTAAATAAAGATTATAAATATAAATAATTTACCAACTAAAATATCATTAATTATCATTAATAATTTTTATATAATAAATTAAGTTTTAATTAAAATATAAAAAATAAATAATTTACTCCCTATAGTATTATTAATTATTAAATATTAATTTAATTAAATTTAAATTATATAAATTAAAATATAATAAAAATTAAATGGTTTACAATCTAAATATTAACATTATTAAATTATTTTTTTAAAAAAAATATTAATTATTAAAGAATTATAATTTAATTGTAAATAATTAATAGATAAATAAAGTTTATTACGATTTAATTCTTTTAATATAAAAGCATCTGAAACTGATTCTATTATAATGTATTATTTTTGAAAAAATTTGAAATTATTTGCTATTGTTATTATAAATCTAATATTTAAACAATTTATAAATGTTTTTTAACATTTAATATTTGAAAAATATTAAATATAAAATAATAGATTATTTAATTATATTTGCTATTATATTTACCTTTATTACTCAAGGTTAATTCTACATTATAAAATTAATTAACAAATTCTTTTAGTATTGATTAATTATTTATAGAAATTGTTGTATTTACCTTCATTAATTCAAACTGATTCTATATTTGAATTTGATAATTTTAATTTTTAGTAAACAAAAATGAGAATAATTACCTTCTAATGAGGAAGCTTTTTTAGCATCTAAAACTGGCTCTAATGTAATTCAATGAAAAAAATAAAGATTTTAGAATATCATTCAACCATTGATATATTAAATATTATGTTATTTATTCCTTTATATATTTCAAGTTGTTAATTGGTTAATGAATATTAGTTAACATTATAATTACCTTTATCATTTAAAACTGATTATTTTAAAATGATTTAATATTATTGATGAATGATAGTAATTTACTAATATGATTTTTTACCTTTCAATCCTGGATTTTTTTCCATATTTATTAAAATAAAATATTGAAATATTATATAATGGTATTTGCAATAATAATTTGTATCATCATATTTACCTTCTATTGTAAAAATTTTACTAGCATTCGAAACACTTGAAACTGGCTCTAATCATTACAATTTATTAATTTTTAGTAAATATAGAAAATAGGAAAGTATAGAAAGTATATGAATTAATATTTACCCTCAAGTGTGATATTGGCATTTGAATCTGGATTCGCTGATTATTTATTCAATTAATGTAAAAAGATAATATTTTGGGTTATAATTTTTACCTTCAAATGTAAAAATTTTATTGGCATTCGAAACTTAATTAAAACAATGAAATAAAAATTGAAAAAATAATTAGTATCCGAGTTAAAGCTTAAAAATAATTTCTTCAATTATTCTTACCATAAAAATTTTATAAATGCATCGCAAATTTATAATTTTATTAAATTTTATAATGAAACTAAATTAAGAATGATTTATAATTAATATTTACCTTCAAACGTGAAATCGTTATTGGCAATATCTAGTTTTGCTTAAAATAGAATCATTTAATGAATTATAATATCGGTTCTTATTTCATCATTGAAGGATGATTCTAAAGTGCTACCTTCTAATGTAGAAGTTTTCTTCAAATCCGAAATCCATTCTAATGTTTTGCAAATTATTTTATTAAAAAAAAGATAAAATTTTTAAAACACGTTTAGGCCCAACTTTCAAATAAACTAATATAATCATTCTTTTTTATTCTTTATTTTTGTATAGGTAAATATAATTTACCTTTATCGTCAGTCATTGTTAAAAATATAAAGAA